TTCACAGCCTGATTCTCAACACCTCTCTCTCCCACCCAGATTCCTTGGGAGGTTCTGAGACGCACGCACGCCTCAGTTTACAGACCACCTAGTCCCAGTCTCCCACCCTTGAGCTCTCACCTCCAGTGTCTTTCTCTGGGGAGGAATTCTGTGTTTCATGTCTCAACATTAACAAAGTGATGACACAGCAGTGACACTGCAGACTCATGGCACAGCTAAAATAAAAGAGGGCCCTTGCACTGTGAGGTAACCTGGGACCTGCTGGGCAGCTGCTGGCTTTCTGCTTCTCTTGGGAACAGTGAGTCCCAAGGTGCAGCCTAGGTATGCATGGCCAAGAAAATGTATTCATGCACACGTCTGAGAGAAGACTCAGACCTGGGAACAGCCCCTGGGCTGCCACAAGCACCTATACATCTTGGGATATGCTGTGGCGTGCAGCGGCAGTCAGGGGAGTGGGCCACTGGTGTGCGGCAGCAGGGCTCTGCCAGTGACAGGGAAGTACTCGCTTTGTGAGTGCGCACAGCCTGCACACTTCTATTTTACTACCTCACTGTAACACAGGTCAGCCGAGCACCTCCAGGTGATATGCAGGTCAGGTGGGGGACCCCACGCACACAGCCCAGGCACAGAGTGGAGACCTGGTGAGCCTGGTCCTTTCCCGGGCCTGTGAGAGGCCTAACCAGGAGACCCTACCGAGCACCTGCTCTGCACCCGTGGTGTCCCAGGTATGTGGAATGTGCAGTCAGGGAACAGGGCCGCCCATGCACGTAAGGATGGAACTTGTCTTGAGAAGCCCTTGGAGAGGGCCAGGCTCTGATGTTGCCTTTATGAGCTCTGTGAGAACTGAGCGTGGCAGGTAGGGACACCCAGGAATGTAGAGGTGCATCATACAAGCAGGAAACTTGGTGGCTTGCAGGATGGAGACGGAGGCCGCGGGAAGGGGGTCAATTCCATACGTGTTGGAGAGGCAAAGCCCACAGGGATCAGGTCCAAACGAAGATGCCATGGACACCTCCTAGGGCTTTGGTCTGAGCATCGAGTGGGTGAACAGGGTAAAGCTGTTTGTGGCTTTGTGGCAGTCCCCAGGAAGGGAGGGCAGGGAGCAGCAAGAAGAGGGAGCAAAGTGTCCCTTGCAAGTCCTCCAATGCACAGGTCCCCCTGAATCCCATGTCCGTGGCCTGTATTTTCCACTGCTGACCTTGGACAAGCAGCTTCTGCCTGTGCGGTCCCAGCTGAACACGGGGATTTTCAGCTCAAAGGATATCACACACAGTGCTGGGGGCATGGGAGCTTCAGGAGCGTCTAGGGCTCCCGATGCCTGAATCAGGGACAAGGCAGTGCAAGAGGGAGGTGAAATTGGAGTCTCAGGCCACCCTTGCACCTCATTTCTCCCTTTCACTCCTTCTAGGCTGGCCCAACTCAGGGCTGGCTGCTCACTGGGTCTGTGGGTACCCTGCTCAGCCACCTCCCTTCCAGCTGTCACTGGGAGCCCCTTGGGCCAGGCTCATCCTTTGATGGGAAACCTTGGCCACATCTGGCACAAGCCTGTGTCCATCTGTAGCTGACAGAGCCATCCTGTCTCTGAGGCCGGTCACCGGGGGGGATAAACAGGAAGCCCCATCTCTCAGCTGCACTGTGTTCTAGTCTTTCTTCCTGCAACCCAGCTCACACACCTGCGCCTGCTGCCCCTCGGCCTTACGCTGCTTGAGATGCCCATGCTGGCCTCTGCCGGGGGCTTGGTCCCCCCTCTCCTGGGGTCACAGATGCCAGACTTGCAGTGGTCAGGAGTCTAAGGAGGATCCTGGGAGACCTGGGAGGTTCTGGCCAACCTATTCACTGCTCCCCGCCTGAACTGTGGGAAGGTAAGGCAGCCATGTCCACTTGACCATCAAGTATTAACAGGTAGGGTGGAAGGCAGCTGTAACAATCTGGCTTAATTATGGGGATAGGTGGGGAAAACGAGGCGTAGTATGGGGACCAGAACTCCTGATTGCAGCTGGCCCCTGCTTTGGACACAATTCTGGGCAGGATTCTGGCTCAGGGCTCTCAGAGGTCCTGGGTGAGGACCAGGACCACCAGGTCTCCACTTAGTGCTGAGGCTGCAAGAGGAGGCCAGGGGCCAGACATGGGGGCTCCCTGCCTGCAGCGAGGGTCAGCAGGCCTGAGTGGGAGGCACACTGACTCCTTCTGAAGTGTTCAATGATTCTGAACAGGTGCTACCAGAGGGGAGCGGAGAGGAATCCTGTAGAAGCAGGAGCCTTCAGACATGGGACAATGGGAGGAGAGGAAGGTCAGGGAGGAGGGAGAGGACCAGGAACGGGGGAAGATCAGGAGAAGTCCCTTGGCCCTGAGCACAGAGCAAACTCCATCCACTATGGCACCCCTACCTGGTTCCTGGTTCCCTCTGAGGCCCAAAGAGTGGCCAGCCAGCACCCACCCCTTCCTCTGTCAATTCCTCTCCCTCCTGTCACAGGCCCTGGTGCCAAGGTGAGACCCATCCCCTCCCCCAACACCTGCCCCTAGGACAGGCTTACCTATCAGGTTCTGTGATGGGACTTAGGTGACAGAGTGGGGCAAGGCTGGTGCTTGGGACACTGAGATGAGGCCTCTGTTCCTTGGGGAGGTCCTAGTCCTGGTTGGGGAGGGGCAGGGGGCAGAGCCCAGCATATTGGGAGGGGACCACAGACATATGGGCAGTATACTGCTGACACCAGCTCATGCTGGCTCTCAGGCCCCTGGTGCCTAGCAGGCAGACCTAGGGACCCAGGACTGGAGCCCACCCTCCCTGCCTGTAAGTCCAGCCCCCAAGAGGCTGAGGGTGAGAAGTGTGGACCAGTTATTCTGACCTCTGGGCCATCCCTTCCAGGTCTGATTACTGAGCTGCCCAGGCGGCTGGGGGGCAGAGGAGGAATTCCTGAGGAGGGTTCCCTGAGAAAAGAAGGGGTGCTGCCCCTGAGCTGACCCGTCTCAGTTCTGCTTCCTTGCTGCTCACCTGGGCCTCAGTCTTCCCTTTTAAAACACGAAAGAGCCTGAATCTAGCCAGCACCATTTTCTGGTTCTTCTGCCCAGGTGGTGGGAGCAGATCCCTGGATGTCAAGGCTAGCGTGGAGAGGGGCAGGCCCTGGTGATGTGGGCAGAGGGATACCTCCAGGGTGAGGGGCATGCCCACTGGCCTCCACATGCCAGTGAGGTGTCCAGGCCCTGTAGACAGAAGGAGCCCTCAGGTGGGAGAGCCTAGGGCTCAATGGGTGCTAAGAGTATGACCAGTGGCTATGAAGGCCAGACCTCAGGTGGAATGGGTGGAAGGTGGTGTGGGAATGGGGGCTCCTCTCGTAAGCTCCACTGTTGCCGCAGGGTCACCTCCTGAAAGAGGCCCCAAGGCCCCTCCCATGCAGATCATCAATGCCTGGGTGCCAAGATCTGCTTCTACCAATCAACACTGGTGTCTGACACCTCTCCTGTCCCCATGGAACAGACAAACTGAGGCTGGTCTCAGGCCCCTGTTGATCACAGCCTGGGGACTGAGCACATGACTCAAGTGGCAGATCACTTGCCTAGCAAGTGCAAGGCCTTAAGTTCAATCCCCAGTAGTCCTAAATAAACAAACAATTGCTTTTGGGCTGGGGGGTGTGGCTCAAGCAATAGTGTCTGTGTAGTACTCATGAAGCCCTGAATTCAAACTCCTGTACCACCAAAAAAATAGAGCCGAACACACCCTGGTGCCTGTGTGGCCCCTTCCCCTGACTGTGGGTTTGGGAAGGACAATGGGACAGCCACATGGGTGTGGCTCCCCTCCTTTTCTCAGCAGCCCAGCAGGAATTTGCAGAGCTGCCCCATCTCCCTGTTAACTCAAGTTATCCAGTTGGGTGGAGCTGGAGAGAGATGGTGCAGGGATGCTTGAGGCTGGAGAAACAAGGTGTTTCAGACATAGGGCAGCTGAACTGATACAGGGCTGGTATGATAAGCCCATTGCGTTCTTGGTGTGTCCTCAGCCACTGCTCAGCCCTTGGTGCCTTGTTCCTCCCAGCTGCCTATGGTATCTGTGAGCTTCTGATGGAGGGCTGGAACCCCAGGGAACTGAGAAAACACCACCTTTGGCCACCCAAGGGCTTCCACATTCCTCCCGACCCCCCAACAGCCTGTTGGAGGCCAAGGAACAGGGAAGAGGGGCTGAGAGTTGCCCCAGGTCCTGTTGTCAGCCCACAGCACACCTGTGAAGTGGGGCTGGGGGCTTTTGGCAACTTTTTGCACATCTCCAGGAACGGGGTCACTGCCCTACAGGAAGCTCCTCCTGGAATTGGGGGGGAGGCAGTTCAGACTCCAGAAGAAGGACTGAGTGAGCTGATGTCTGTTCTCCCTATCCCCTTTACCATGGGCCCTAGGGACCCAAGAACAGGCTGTTCTCAGACCACCCAGCCTGTCCTGCCGTCCAACAGATCCCTTCTAGCTGAGCACTGCCACCTACCACCTGCTCCTCCCAGTCAAGGTCCCAGAGTGACTGATCTCTCCCTTGGGCAGGAATCCCTCCAACTCTCCTGCTGTGTCACATACATCTGGGGGTGTCCTGGAGGAGAGGCCAAGCTCCTGTGGCCCAAAGACACAGAAGGTCCCTTCTGTTAGCCACAAAAATATGGCCTGTGGTCACACTGGCTCTGTGGACTCAGCACAGAGAAAACCCTGGCTCCACATCCTGCCCCACACTGTCCCTTGTCACTAGCTGGGCTGCAGCTGAGCCCAATCTTAGTGTCTGGCTGCTTCAGGGCTAGACTCTGAAGTCCCCGGGGACAGCTCCCCCACCCCAGGCAGCTCCACCAGCCCCCCCCCCACTTGATAGCCCCCACCGCCCCTTGGCCTCCTGTTTGTTCGCTGACAGATCCCCGTTATCAGCGGAGAACACACACAGGAAGTCCGGCCGGGAAGGGCCCTTCCCAATCCCGATTTACACTGGATGGAGCATAAAAAGCCGCCCTTCCTCGCCCGGGAGGAGCCTCCATGCCCCAACTGGTCACCCCTCAGGCCACGATGGAGGCTGCAGCGGACAGGACAGGCGGGCAGGCCTCAGGAGGGGACTCGGGGAGGCTGGTGGGCCCAGCGCCGCCACGAGGAGCTGGGTGCATGCCTGGCCCAAGGAGGCAGCCCTGTGGCCTGTGCAGGCCTGGGTGGCATCAGGTACGCAGGGTAGGGGCAGGGAGTGGGCAGAGTGGGCCCTGAGCATCGGGTAGGTGCAAGCCTGTCCAGAGCACTGCCAGTGCCATGATTCTACTCACCCTTCCTGTTCTCCATCCCCACTGATCAGAGGAGACCCTAAGGCCCCTTGGTTGCTGTGGATGGACCAATGTGGGCTCCATCCTTCACCCCTGGCTGCCCAGGAGCTGCAAGATGCCTGGAGAGAGAAGCTGAATACAACCTGGCACCTAGCCGCACCCCTTAATCAGACTCTGCATCCCCCGGGGAGCCCCGGGAGTCAGCAATAGAACTCAGCCTGGCTGGGCCTCCTGGGAAGAGCTTGGTGCTGCTCATTCCTCCTTTGCCACGAGGGCTGGGGTCTTCTTAGCTTGTCCTTAGTGGTGGATGAGTTTTCCCAGGGGAAGAAACCCCAAAGCCATGTCTGTAGCCCAGATGAACCATGCACATCGGGGCTACTGAAGACGGGGCTAGGAAGAGCCGCCTTTGGGGGCTCAGGCTTAGAGACAGCTTGGTGGGGCGTGGTGTAATTACATGGGTGACTTTGTTGGCCTACAGTGGCCCCTTGGGGGAGCTTCCTAGTCTCTCCTCTCCTAAGTCCCTAAACTCTGTCCCAAAGGTCCCAAGTCTCCCAAAGGCTCCCAAGTGCCTTCCCCAGCCACACCAAGAGGTCTGGGCAGCACGCCCATTTTTCAGATGAGTAGCAGGTAGGGCAGGGAACACCAAGAGAGCAGCCTTTCTGCCCCATTGTCTCCTAATGAGGCTGGAAATAGGACCTGCTGGTCAAAGGGCACAGTGGACCCAGCTTGAGGGATGAAGATGAGGCAAGGGACAGCAGAGCCCATCCTATCTGTCCACATCTCCGGCCCCACTTAACCCTTTCTCATGGCACCAGGCAAAGGCTGCCTTGCTTGGGTTTAATTGTCTTGAGACCAATGACTACCCCCATCCACATTTGTAGGCATCCTCACAGCCGCTACCCCAGCTGCCCCTCAGACTCATCTGCCAGGAGCTTCTGTCCTTGGTCCAGGGCAGTGGTGGCCCTGGGCTGGAGGCAACAGACTCACTTTACACATGGGGACCCTTTCTTATCCCCAGGGTTGGAGGAATGTTCCAGCTAGTAGCTGCTCCCATGAGCAGATCCAGGCAGTCAGTTCATCTCAGGACATGATGGGACAGGGGTGTGGGGTGGGGGTGGGGGTCAGCCACCAAATGGAAGCCTTGGCTCCAGGCCCCTTCCCAGGCCCTGGACATAAGGGTAACCAAGGTTCTCCTACGGCTCTAATCCACACCCTGTCTCTGACCCACAGCCCCCTGTACCAGCAAGGCAGCTCCAATTGTCCAGAAGAGCAGTGGCCATCAGTGCCCAGGGGATGACGAACTCCCCTGTGATAGGTGAGTCCCAAGGAAGCCCTCTGGGCAGCAGCCAGGGGCCAGGCTTTGCCAGGAGCTCATTTTATACTTGAGCTATGGGACCAGTGCCTGGCTAGGGTCTAAGTGATTAACAAAGTGGGCAGGCGAATGTCTTGTGCACTGAAGAGCTGTGACACTTTCGGGCATGGCAATGCATTGATGACAGAGTTGGGCTAAATTCAGAAGTGGCAGCTGGGAAGGAGACAGAGACCAGTCCAGAGGCCTCAGGTGGTAACCATGGTGGTGAGGGGCCTGGCAAGTCATAGGGAGGAGCACTCAAGGGTGGTTCTGACTGTCCCGAATAAGACAGTGTCCACATGAGGGTGCCCCAAGGGGTCCCAGGTCCCCCCACCTAATATTGTTAGGAGGGGGCTCGGGGTCACACCTAAGTCCCACCTGGACTGCCTGCGATGGGGAGAGTACTGGGTCTCTGCTGCAGGGCCAGGTTTAGCCCCTGCCTGGTGTCTAGTGACCTAGGCGGCTGCAGAGTTAGCAAAGGGTCAGTTTGGGCACCCTCGCGGCTTCTAGGCTCCTGACAGCGGCTCAGTCCTGAGTTCCCAGAGGCCATGCGCCCTGCTGCAGGACTCCCAGAGGGCCTGGAATTGCAAAGGGGGTTCAGAGGCGCTGCGGCAGCACTAGATTGCGTCAAAAGCCCCAGGTTCGGGCTGATTCGCTGCACGCCTGCGGGAGCGCTCCACGGAGGGGCCTCAGTTTCTCCATCCGCGCAATGGGGGCGAGGCGGGGTCGCAAGACCACCCGGGGCGGGAGCAGAGCTCCCGCAGCCCGCCAGGTGGGGCGGGGCCGGGGGCGGGGCGGGGCGGGGCTCGGGGCCCAACGGCGCGGCGGCGGCGGCGGCGGCGCGTGCGCGCCCCAGACCGCGCGGTGAGTGCGGAGGGAGCCCCGGGCTGGGGCGCAAGGGCGCCGGGGCGCCGGGGGCGGAGGTCTGTAGGCCCCCTGGGCGGGGTGGGGGAGACGGGACTACTGGGCGCGGAGCTAGGGGGCGGCCACCCAGGCGACGCCGAGCGATCGCGGGGACCCGAGAGGTGAGCGCGCGGGGGCCGCGGCTGGGCCGCGCCGGGCGCGCGCGGACCCCACACCCCATTACTGGTCCTGCGGCCGCCGGGAGAATGGGCCCAGCGGCCTTGGGAACCGGCGCCCCCTGCTGGCGACCGGGCGCCGCTCCCCTCACCCCATTCTAGCCCTGCGACCCCCACGGCTTGGCCTTCGGGCCCTGCATCCGCAGCGCAGCCCAGCCAGGTCGTCCTGGTGGGTTGTCACACTCCACCCCCATCCCATCTGCACGGAGCCTGGGCGGGGATGAGGGGGGACAGTGGAGAGGACACTCCCGCTGAGTCCGTCATAGAGCCTTCCTCACCCCTCCGCTCCTCCCGGTTGGTGCTCATGTCTAGACACCCCTCAATGGCGCGAAGGGATCCAGGGTCCTTTCCCTTCGGGGACCAGGCCCCTCCTTCTGGAGACACAGCCTACCCCCTCCATTGGGGACTGCAGGGCGGCAGGTGGGGAGGGGAGGTGGCGGGCAGGGTCCATGGTGACACTCAGGCGACATGATTGCTTATCACCCTGGAGGCGACGCCACAGACAGCCCCTCAGTGGCTGAACACCATAAGGGAAATGAGATTCCATGAGTCCTGCGCCTTTACGGGCTTCCTCTGGCCTTGGGCAGAGCATGACTTTCAAAAATCGAGTCTCTCATTTTTAAAGCACAGTTCTCGTTCTAGACAGCATTTTGTCCCTGTGGGAGGTGCTGTGGATGGAGGTTTGTTGTGGTCAGTGACGTCTGCAGCCAGCCCCCAAGGATGGGCACGGGCTGTGAAACTGCAGCATCCCACTGGCCCACCTCCTCCTTCCTGGGCCCTGCTCTGCAGGGCCACCTGGTTGTTGCCTGGACCACAAGGGCCACCCCCAGAGTTATCTTCCCAAGCCAGTTCCAAGCCCTCCCCAGAATTTTCTGTGCTCCCCCTTTGCTCCCAAACTAAGTCCCAACATCAAGTCTGTAGCCCCCTGCCCTACAGAGACAGGGGTGTAGGAAGGACCCTCCTCCTGCCACCTTCCCGCCCAGGACGTGTGATGCAGGAGCCTAATGTGCACCTGACTCCCACCAACTATGAGAGGCAAGCATGGACTCTCTCCCCTCCAGCTGCTTGGACAGCAGCTAGGGCTTTGTAACCAGTTGGGTGTCCCTGTCTACATGACCAACTGTGAGAGCCAGAGGAGGGACCTTGGAGATGGTAGGAGTGTCTGAGGAACCTGAGTCCCAGAAAGGCGATGACTTACCCCAGGCTCCACCCCACCTACCTCCTGGCCCTCCCCTGCAGGGGTGAGGCACCTGGGGGCTGGGGCAGCTGGGGAGGAAGCCTTCCATTTAAAGAGCACCATGACAGCCCTGGGCAGAGCTCACTAGTTCCCTGGACCCCTGGCTGCACACAGGATGGGGCAGCTGTCCCTCTGCCACTGCACAGACCTGCCCAGTCTCAGCACTGCCACAGACCATTAACTCTTGGTGGAACTTCTTGCGTTCCCAGGGAGCCTCAGCAATCTTCCGGGCCACCACCTATAGCCAGGAGAGGGCTGGAGATGGCCTTTAATGGCATTTTTTTTGGGGGGGAAGGCTGCTCCATTACTCCCCAGGTGCAGACCCAGTGGGGCCCACTGCCTTGGGAGCTGGGATGTGGACACACGCTCCAGTCTGGGAGGGATGCCCCTCCTGGCTGCAGGCCCCCTCTGGGTCTCAGAATGTATGTATCCTATAATGGCCCTTCCTGTGCACACCTGCTGATGGCTGACACCTACACCCATGGAACCCAGATGCCCTTGGGGGCTGACTCTGCATTTAACAGATGTGGAACCTATAGTCCAGAAGGGCCATGATGGGGCAGCAAGTCCCTGGCTGGGCTGGGTTCCAGCTCTGTCCACTAACACCTTGTTGGAAGACAGTGGCAGGCAAGCTGGCCCCTGCGTGCCTGTCACCAACAGGGAGGGGAGACTAGCCCAGACGCTTATTCTGGGACCCACCTGGAACCTCAGGTGCTCCCAGGGATCTGCCCCAGAGCCAGCAGGGGTCTAGGTGTCTCCTGCCCCAGAGAACCCCCAGGTCCATCTCTCTGTGGCTGGCAAAGGGTCAACCTAGCTGGCAGAGGTGGACCGGAGCTGCCTGTGGGAACTGAGTCCCCAGCAAGCAGCTGAGCTGGGTGGGCATTCCAAAGCCAAAGGTGTACACTCCACCAGCGGCCTGGGCCTGGAGGGTAGTGTGTGGGGACTTCAGGGGACTTTATAGGGTTGTGCTTTGTGCCCCAGGCCCCCCAGAAGAGAAGGCCAACCCACCTGAAGACACAGGCCATGTGGGGCTCCCGGGAGCTGCTTCTGGTGTGGTTTCTAGTGTTGGCAGTCGGGGGCACTGAGCACGTCTACCGGCCCAGGTGAGCCAGGGCTTCAGGGTGCTGGAGTCAGGGCCAGGGGCCTGTAGCTCCCAGCACTGTGAGGGGATTCCTTGTGGACTCCTACCAAGGGTCCTACCCACACCAACCTTGGGAGGCCCTTCCCCTACATTCTTGGGTTCTCGAGCTAGGAGGGTCCTGGCTTTGGGACCCTCACTCAAACCCTTCCCACCCCATAGCCGCAGGGTGTGTACTGTGGGGGCTGCCAGGGGCCCCGTGTCAGAGTCCTTCGTGCAGCGCGTGTACCAGCCCTTCCTCACCACCTGTGCTGGGCACCGAGCCTGCAGCACCTACAGGTGAGTGCCTCACCACCCCCTGCAGTCAAAGGCAAGGCCAGATGACCTTGAGTCTCAAGGTGGTCTCAGCCTTGGCAGTCCAAGCAAGGATGCTGTGTGATCACCTCTATTATCTTAGGATGTCACCTCAAAGGGTGTCCCCATGTTTAGAGGAGTTGCCAACCCCATCTGCACTGTGCACCTTTAGGGTACACCTCCCTCCCTGGCATTGCTGGCTGTTAGCTCTCTCCATGGGGATGATCCCCTATCCGTAAAACCTATTAGCCTTGCCCTACCCTGGGACTCCAGTGGGCACCCCTCTTCCCACGATGGCCCTAATGGAGAACTCCAGATGTCCCGTTAGCAGCCCAGCCTGAGGGCGGGTTCTTATTCTGAGCGTGGGGAGCTCAGCCTCTTCCAGCCCAGAAATATCTGGGAAAGACCCAGGTTTATGAGCGGCTTCCTGGCTCCTAAGATCCCAAAGTTAGAGGAGCACTGGTGTAAGAGAGTAGCTTTATCATGAGTGACTCAGAGCCTAGGGAGGGAAGGAAAGAAGGCGAGGTTCATCCAGTTCGGAAGTGGCCGCTGCAGGACCGGGCCACACGGAGGCTTGGGTGCTATTCCTGCTTTGCGCTGGTCCTGGGGCTTTCTGCATGCCTCAGGGTCCCTCTCAAAACCAGAGTATTCTGGCAGGAAATGACTGTGTAGACCACATAACTACCGTCCCTGGAGAGAGGAATTCTGGGGACCCAGGGAGCGACCCTGTCGAGGTGCTCAGAAGCTGACAGATGGGTTGGGCAAGGTGCACCTTGGCATCATGTCTAGGGAAGGCTCAGCCTGGGATAGCCCTTGTCAGGCCCCTCTGAGCTGTCCCCTCTCCCTGCAGAACCATCTACCGGACAGCCTACCGCCAGAACCCCGAGCTGACCCCTGCCAGGCCTCGCTATGCCTGCTGCCCTGGCTGGAAGAGGGCCAGTGGGCTCCCTGGGGCCTGCAGTACCGGTGAGTGCAGTGGGCCCATGGTGGGTCCCTAGCCAAGGTGCTTCTGTACTGTCACCCCGAGTAGACCATGCTGCTTCCTGCAGAGCAACCCCGTCCTGGCTGCCCCTGGAGGGTTCTGGGCACCCTGAGTTCGTAATACCTCCCCCACCCACAGCAATATGCCACCCACCATGTGGGAATGGAGGGAGCTGTGTCCAGCCAGGCCGCTGCCACTGCTCAACAGGATGGCAGGGAGACACCTGCCAAACAGGTAAAGCTGGTGCTGCTCCCCCCGCCCCCAGTGGCACTGAGGAGGGTCCTCTGGGCACCTCCCTGTATGCCCTTGTGGCTGGACCTCACCTTCTGCAGGCACTGCCTGATACCCCCATTTCCTGCAGATGTGGACGAATGCAGTACTGGAGGGGCCAGCTGTCCCCAGCACTGCATCAACACCGCAGGCAGTTACTGGTGCCAGTGTTGGAAGGGGCACAGCCCATCTGCAGATGGAACGCTCTGTCTGCCCAAGGGAGGGCCCCCTAGGCTGACCGTGAACCCCATGACAGGTAAACTTGCTCCCCACTCCACCCTGTGCGTGGTCTGGGGCGGTGGGCAGATGGTGGACATCCAGGGCCCTGTGGGTGTGGGCACTGAGGGCAGCCAGCCCTGGGTGGAGATTGACACATGGGAAGGCCTGAGCCCCGGCATTCTGGGCTGGCAGGTGGCTAACATCTTGGCAGAAGGTGGCAGAAGCCTCTTTTCCCTGGGGAGGTTTCTGGAAGACACTGTAGGGAGGGCTATCCAGGGGCCTCATGTCAGCCAAGCAAGTGGAAGAAGGCCCCCATCCTTGGGGCCCAGCAGTCTGGAGAGATGGCAGACCTTTGCTGGTGACGGGCCATTATTACTTTTGGTACGCGCTGTGACACTTCAAACTCGTACCGTGAGTAATAATGCGTTGTCAGCAGCCCAGCACGAGGAGCACGTCAGATCTCGGCGAGGACCACCATCAGCAAGGTGGGGCCTGGGACCCCAGAACCAAGGGGTACTTTGGGTCCACCAAGAGCCATGTGCATCAGTGTGCCAAGGTGTCAGGACCTGGAGACTTCCAGGACAGTCCCAGGTGGACAGTTGGGTTATCAGAGGCCTGTGTCTTCTGGGCTCTACCCCCACAGCTGGAGCTGTGGGATAAGAGGCTGCCTTGAGGGTGGGGTGGGAAAATGCCCTTCCCTGACCCAGTGCCTGGATCTGCCCCCAGGAGAGGACAATGTGGTGAGGGAGGAGATGCAGAGGCTGCAGTCCCGGGTAGACATGCTGGAGCAGGTGAGCCTGGGGATGGTGGGGGGAGAGGAGGGGAGGACAGGGAAGGTCTGGCTGGCCCTTATGAGATCTAGGCCTGGGCCCTGGGGAGGCCTACAGACGCCTGTAGTCTTAGAGGGGGTGGTTTAGACCCCTAGTGGATTGTGGTGTTCCATGGGGAGGCCTATAAGGCTGTCACCCTTGCTGACAGCCCAAGGTCCTCTGGTTTGGACTCCATGCCAGGCAGCATGTCTGGTACTGCCTAGGTCGGGAGGACCCAAGCTTGGCCACCCACAGGCCAGCAGGAACCCAGGCCCGTATCAGGGCAAGTTGCTCTTGCCTGCCTCCCCACCAAGCCACAGACCCCATGACTCCTCCCTAGTTCCTCTGTCAGGACTCTGAAGCCCTGACCAGGCTGTCAGTCTGTCTGATGTCCTTCTGTGCCCTCTGGGCGTCAAGATTTTTCTGGTACAACAGCTCCCTCTAGTGGCAGCCAGAGCCCTGACACCAAAGCTATGCCTGGGCTTTGCTGAGCCCTTACCAGTTCTTAAATTCTCAAGGAACAGAGAGGGGGTGAGTGGTTTGCCCAGGGTCATCCAGCCTTCTGTCACCCCCTTACTCGCCCCCACACACCCTGTCCCACAGAAGCTGCAGCTGGTGCTGGACCCACTGCAAAGCCTGGCCTCAAGGGCCTTGGAGCATGGGCTCCAGGACCCCGGCAGCCTCCTGGCCCACTCCTTCCAGCAGCTGGACCGAGTGGACTCTCTGAGTGAGCAGGTCTCCTTCCTGGAGGAGCAGCTGGGGTCTTGTGAGTGCTGCATCCTGCCTTCCTCCTATAGCTACCTGGAATGGCCTGGAGGGCAGGGACAGGGGGTGGAGCCATCCATGAAAGGGCAGGTCTGAGGGGTTGACCCCAGCCTCCTCTTCCTCCCCTAGGTTCCTGCAAGAAGGATCTCTGATGGCCTCCATCTTGATGCCCCAGGCCAGACTGAGCCACCTGCCATCCCCACCCTGTTCTGTACCACCCCTCACATCCCTCCCAGCTAGGGCCCAGACAGAAGTCTGTCTCCCCTTCTCAGGAGGCCATGAGGGCTTGGGCTTGGGTGGGTCCTCCTGTGTGCATCCCCCACCCTCACAGGGCTTTCTAGGGCCTGATGGGCAGAGGCTGCAGGAAGGTACGAGGGCTCCCTGCCCAGAACAAGGCAGTGGGACTTGCTGGCAGTCTGCCCACAGGTGGGGCAGGGTTGTCCCCATCTGTGTCAGAATAAAATTGAGACTTGAACTACCCTGTCAATAGATGGTCTGGGTGGCTGGGTGCTGCCCCCTACCCTAGACTGCCATATGTATTCGGAGGGGCTGCAATGCACCACAGTTCCATCGGAAAGGGCTGGGCAGGTGGTTCTCTCTGGCAGGTTGTTCTGAGGTCACAGCTTCCTCTTCCTTTGGCCACCCCCAGCCAGAGGCCAAAGGGCATCTTCAACCTCTCTCCCCACACACCTGCCTCTTAGTTAACACACCAACTGACCTCAGAGCCTGGCTAAAAGCATTTGGGGCCAGGGCTGGGAGCTGGGCCTCAGCTCTGGCCAGTCTTGCCTAGACCTGGGCTTCCCCAAGGCCTGTAGAGTCACAGGCATGAAAACAGAAAGTCCTTGTCCCCAGGGCATGGAGGCCAGTGTTGGAGGCTCCCTGCTTCCAGGGCCTGAACGGGAGCCTCAGGAGCTAGGCAGCCGGACACAATGATATTTGGCGGCCCAGGAGGGGGTCCTTCTGTCCATTCTCTGGTCTCTGCCTCTGTCTGTCCACCCGCCTTGACCCTGCTTTGTGTGGCCTGGGCTACTGGGCTGGCTGGCCATCAGGCACCTCGGTGGCCCCGTTCTCCTGGGGCATCCGGGATATCTGGGAGAAGGTATTCCTCATGGACTGGTAGCAGGTTTCCACAAGCTTGGGGACGTCAGCCTCAGTGAGACCACTGGTGGAGATGGCGTCCAGCACCTCAACCTTGATCGTTCCTGGCATGGAGTGGGGTGGAGCAGTGGGCGTCAATGGCTGGGGGTTCACCAGTACAGCTGTCCTGGCCTCTCCACCCAGCCTCCCACTGCCCAGCCTGGAAAACCTCTTCCTCAGCTCCTAACCGCAGTGGGCTTGTTCATTATTGAGGCAATATTGACAGTAAAGCACAGTTCCTAAGTGCGTTCTGTGGGTTTCCACAGCTCTGTCCTCTCCCGTAACCACCCACCCCCATACAGGTTTCTGCCCCCTAGAAGGCTCCCTCAAGCCCTTCTCAGTCAGCCCCCACTGCACTGACTTGTGCTTTGCAGTGGTGTGGGCCTTGGGGGTCAGCTGCAAGAGACTGAGCCTGGCTCCTCCAGCTGCCCTTCAACCTTTGACTCCCATCTCCTCACCTGGGCACCGGGTGACCACATGCAAGGGCTAGGGCCCCTGCCTGGAGGAGGGTTCCCATTCTGTGCCTAATAGCACCGGGATCCCTGGGCTTCCCCCTGTGGGGGGGCCTGGCCTGGACAGTCCAGCCGCAGTCATGACCACAGCCTCCCCCACTCCCATCTGTGTGCACAGCTTGGACCAACTAGGTGCACAGGCGCAACACCCTCTTACAGCCTCAGCTTCCTCAGCTGAAAAACAGGCCCACTACCAGTTCACAGGACCACAGGGAAAAGTAATGAGTGAAGCAACACTGGCCCTCAGCTGGACTGGCTCGGGGACCAAATTCATTCATTCATTCATTCTGCTAGGTAGGGGCCCAGGAATCCCTCAACTGACAGATTAGACAGGGCCATGAGCACCTATGACACTGGCCAGGACTCACCTGAGGTGAAAAGTTTGGTCTTGAGGTTATAGAAGGAGGAGAAAGAGGAGTACACCACGGGGATGATGGGCACCTGTGGACAGGGACACACCCCAGGGATGAGATTGTGGGGGCCACCTTGCCACCACCCGTGCCTGCTTCCAGCTGTCCTCATGGCTGACTCCTTAGCTCAGGACACCACCATGCAGTGGGTGGCCCAGACTTCTATATATTCACTCTGGTATCCTAACGTCACCTTCTCCAGGAAGTCTTTCTGGTGTTGGTGCTGAGGATTGAACCCAGAGCTGCATACATGCTCTGAGCTGCATCCCAGCCCCGAGAAGTCTTCCCGAACTAGCACGTTTGTTTCCCACGCTGGGTCATAAAACCAGCCAGGAGGGGCACAGCCCCAGCTGCCTTAGCTAAACGAAGTTACCACCTTTCCTGCCCATGCCCTCTCCCCATCCTGCCCCCATTCGAGGAAGTGGGGGTGTCGAAAGAGCTTTTCACAGGGGAGTAGGTGGAGCCCACTGGATTTCCTATAAGGTACCAGGGTCAAATCCAATGGTGACGGGTGGCACCTGGGGTAATCATTAACCCCAGGCAGTCAGGGAACCTCTGGGGCAGGGCAGGAAGGTCCCCTGGGGGAGGGGCTAGGGTACAGGAAATGTAGCCTCCTGCACGTAGCTGCCGCAAGTCCATCATGGCCTGTGCTCCCTTTCTCTGAGGACCTGCCAACCCAGCTCCCCCACCACTGCCACTGGCAAGAGGGATGTGCCTTCAGTCCCAAGCTCCAGGTGTGCCGGCCATCCCATGGCTAGAAGGTCCAGAGCAGGGATGGTTGCTGGGCAGAGCTGAGGAGTGCAGACTCTTGCCCCAGCCAGGGATCCCACACCCCTTTGTGCTGGTGGAAGCCTGGGGAGGAGGGTATACAGGGTCAGGCACCCAGGTGCACAGGAAGCCACACACCAGCTGAGGCTGGCTGTGGAGTCCCACCAGCTGGGCAGGACACAAAGCCCCTTCTCCTGACCCCCGAAGGTGAATTTCCTCAGCACGGGAGCAGTAAAGGAGAGCCACACCCCATGGTGGACCTGCCCCCAGACTCAGGGATACCCCCAGGACACACTGCCTCCACGTAGGCAGAGGACCACAGAAGCACAAGGTCCGGAGGCAGAACTCACAGGGTGCCACCCTCATCCAGGTTCTGGCCTGGCCCTGCCCACACTGCTCCCTAACTCCACTGTGGCAGGCCCGGGGCAGGGAAGGAGCTCCACACACAACCAGCACACCGCCCAGGTCTCACTGGCCTCAAGCCCCCATTTCTCACAAAGCCCTGTATGCGGCCCCTTTCGGCCAGCTAGAAAGTAGGGGTGATGATGCCCGAACAGTCAGTACTGCCCCTAGAGCTGGGCACGTGAGCTTGACCCAAGCGCCAGTCTTAACCACTAAGTAGGTGAAGGGCCCCAAGGCTGCCGTGCTCTGCAGATCAGGGGACCAGGAGCTGAAAGGAGGGAGGTCCTGTCCTCTATCCCAGTTGGAGGAGGTCACTGAGCACCAGCAGTCCCTAGCCTGGCCAGGCAGTCCCTCCCCCTTCCCCTTCCTCCCGCCCAGGGCATGGCCTGGCCTTACCTGGGCCTGGATCGCCAGGTAAAAGGCACCTTTCTTAAAGGGCAGCAGGTCCCCGTTGTCATTACGTGTGCCCTCAGGATAGACCCACACCTTGAGCTGCCGGAGAGAAGAGCTGGCTGCTGCTTGGGCTGCCCGGTCCCCACTGGCTGCCCCAGGGAGGCCGCGCTGCCCTGAGAGGAACCCCACTTCTCAGCGGGCTCAGCTGCTGGCAGACCGGGGTACCCGTCCTGAGGCTGCCAACAGTTTGCAGACGCTCTTCTGCCAAAGCAAAGCCTCGCTGTGGCCCCCACTCACATTGTCCCTGACCATGTGCCGGCCCAGGTTGGCCATCAGGGACATGGCGGTGCTGGAACGCTGCCTGTTGATGAAGAGGACACCCCCGAGGTACATGATGAGGCCTATGGGCCCCAGGAACACCAGCTCCCGCTTGGCAATCTGCACACAGCGCTTGGGGAGGACCTCCATGAGGCCTGTAGGGGAAAGGGAGTAGAGGGTGGGGGTGGGGAGAAAGACAGAGACAAAAGAGACAGACAGACACAAAGAGAGACAGAAGAGAAACAGAAAGAGACAGAGACCAAGAGCCAGAGCCAGAAAAGAGAGACAAGAGAGAGCCAGAGGCAGAGAAATAGAAGAGAGAGAGATACAGAGACGGAAGAGACAGACAACAGACACAGAGGCAGACAGAAGAGAGATACAAAGAGAAGAAACAAGAGACAGACAGACACGGATAGGACTGTCAGAGACAGGACTGTCCCCAAGCAAGAGGGGCTAGCCACCTGCTTCCCACTGCCCCTCTGGCTCTTAGCCTCTGCCTCCTCTCCTCCTTAAGGAGGAGCTGAAATAGTTCCAGCTGTTGAGCACAGTGTGGGAGCCCTGTGCCTGGAGTGAGGCACAGGCAGCTGGTTGCTTTTATCACTCAGTTTGAGGGAGGCCAGTGGCTGGAGGGACACACAGGTCCCCTCCCCTCCATTAGTCCCACCACAACCTCCCTGCTGCCCTGCTCTCTCCAGGTCTGCCTGGGTGGGGCCTACCCATCATATCCAGAATACTCTGGTGATTGGAGATGATGACGCAGGGGCCCTCCACCTGCAGCTTCTGCCGGCCCCTGACCTCAACGCGAAGGCCGTACACATACTTGAAAGTCCGAACGAACCAGCTGATGATGCTGAGGAAAGAAGCAGCAGTGAGTGGAGGTCTGGCAGAAGGGGCTCAGCCTGCAGGCCTGAGGGGCAAGCTGAGGAAGGGGCAGGACAGGAGACATAGCCCAGGGGCCAGCTCACCCCACCCAAGCCTCCTCCACCCCAGCAGAGGGAAGACAAAGAAGTTCTGGAGGTCAGACCATGGACGCTGGGCTGCCAGTGCTCACCCCTTCTGTGCCTGGCAGAGACGGGGAGGGGCAGCTGGAAGGGGATGGGGCTGTTCTCATTCCTGTTAATCACAAGAAACATGGCCCATGGAGAGCAGGGTCCTGCACCCTACCCAGCCCCAATCATCCAGAGGGCATCTGCAAGTCCTGGCTGGGCCAGAGGGGTGCCGGGAGGGGTGCCTGCCCCTCATGCTCTGCCAGGAAGCTTTGAACACCTGGGTGAACTCCCTCTCTGTGGCTCCAAGCAGGGCCCCAGGGTCTTTCCAAGCCTTGTGCATGACAGGGCGGGTGCAAGTGGGGCTGCACTGTCTGAAGGGCCCCCACTCCACAATGCAGATGAGTGCTCCCTCATCACTAGAGTCCCAACTGAGGGGAAGGGAGTTCCCTCCACAGGTCAGAGCTGGTTCTAGACAGCAGAGCAGAGCTAAAAGCCAGTCCTTCACTCACCCGGACTCTTTCTTTAAAATTACGGCAACATACACAGGCCCTAAAATTTATCATCCTAGCCATTTTTAAATGCACACTTTTTAAGTATCGGTGTTAAGTACATCACACTGTTGTCTAGCCATTGCCACGGTCCATCCACAGGGTTTGTCCATCTTCCCAACTTGATGGTTTGTCCCCATCAACCCTGATCCCTCCCCTCCCCAGCCCCCGGAAACTCCCACTTTGTCTTCACAGAGCTGCCATTCCTGGGGACTTTGTGGAAGTAGAACCCTACAGAAATCATCCCCTATGACTGAAAACCAGGTTCTAAACCAGCTATGCCAGTCCCACAGAAGCAAACAACAGGAAGAACAACTTGTGTCGATGGGGAAAGTCAGTTGATTAAACCAGCCACCCTGTACCCTGAGGCCTTCCTCAGATCTGTTCAACTTGGGTACCTCCTCTCTAGGCCAGACCCACCCTATGGACCCCAGCCACTGGCAAGGCAGGTGTGGAGGGGTGGGGGTGATAGGTCCTGGACCCTAGAGGGGAGCAGTGGCCATCCACTCTGTAACCATGCTCCCTTATTCTCATCTGTAAAACCCAGCTCCTGGATCACTGTGAGGCAATTCACAGAAGAGGAAGATGAACTGCCGGGTAGATAAAACAACCCATTCTCGCCGGCAGGTGGAAGCAGAACCTCTCCTCCATCCTGGCACAAACTAGATCCTGACAACGGAGGTGTAGCCGGGCCTTGGGTGCTGGCAGGGGCAGGAGGCAGAGATGTGTCTGGAAGGCAGGTTGACTACCATGAAGGGGGCTGGGTGGGGAAGTCCTGAGAAGCCTGCCCAGCTGACCAGGCCAGCGATTCTGGGTTCTTCCAGGAACCACCCTAAGGCACAGGGAGGAAGCAAGGGATTTGAAAATGCCTTGGGCAAGGGATAGCGGGAAAACACCACCAAGGTCTGTTTTTTTTTTTTGTTGTTGTTTTTTTGTGCAACTGGAGTTTGAACTCAGGGCTTTGTGATTGCAAAGCAGGTGCTCTACCATTTGAGCCATACCTCCAGTCCATTTTATTCTGGTTCTTTTGCAGATAATAGGGTCTTGAGAACTATTTGCCCAGGCTGGTCTTGAATCTTTATCTTCCCAGGATTATAGGTGTAAGCCACCAGCTACACAGCAAGGTCTGTATTTCTTTAGGACAATCGTGTAATTTATTGTGCTTTTTTTCGCCGCCCTCCGCCCTGCCCCCGTGGTGCTGGAGATGGAACCCAAGGCCTTCCCCATGCTAGGCAAGCACTCGGACACTGAGCTGCACCCCGAGCTGAGGACTCACATGGTTTATACAGGCTGAGCAGCCCTCACCCTAAATCCAAGATCCCAAACTTTTTAGACATGATGCCACACGTCGAAAGTTCCACATGACCTCATGTGAAGGATGGCAGTTATGCTAAAAACACTGTAGAAAATCCCTCCAGGCTCTGTACAGTGTACACGAACCATAAATGAATTCTGTGTTTAGACTTGAGTCCAGCCCCAAGATATCTCATTATGCATGTACAAATACCCCCAAATCCAAAAGCACCCAAAATCTTCTAGACTCGAGCATTTTAGATAAGAAACCTTCACCCTGTAATCATAACTCCATACCCATTGCATTTCTGCGTCTTATTGCAGGGGCAGAGTCTCAGGTCACATCCAGAGATGGACTGTGGCCTCTGGTAGCAGTGTGTACCTCTTCCAGTTTCTCTCTTTTTTGCAGTGCTGGACATGGAATCCAGGGCCTCATGCATACTAGCCAAGCATTCTACTACTGACTATACCTCCAGGCTCTCTTTAAAAAAAAAAGTGGCAAAAATAGATATAAAATTTACCATCTTGGGCTGGGGACATGGCTCAGAAGTTGAATACTAGCCTGGAATAGGCAAGGCCCTGGGTTTGATCCCCAGCCCCAGAAAACAAAAACAAAAACCAACTCAGTGTTTCCTCCCAGAGGAAGGTGCCAGCTAAGCTCTGCGGAGGCTGCAGCAGCCAGCAGACATAGGGAAGCCCAGGTGAGGAGCCCCATTGTAACCAGAGAGGGAGACTGCCACTCCCAGCCCTTAGACCCCACCTGCCATCTGCCAAACACCTACGACAAGCCAAGGGCTGTGCCAAGGGCTCCACATGAATCATCCAGCTCTCCTCAGACAGTCCCACGAGACACAGAGGAGGAAATGCAGGCCCCACAGAGGTAAGTGACCTGCTAGGAAGCCAGGAGGGGCCGAGCTGCCTTCATTCCAGCTGTGACCTGGGGTCATGCACTTGACCTCTCTAAACCTCCTCATCACCTGCACAAGGAGAAGGGTGCTGAGGAGCTGCACTTATGAGGCAGGGATGCCTGGTGACCCCAGCACTGGGACCTCCAATCAACTCTGGCTGTGACGACCACCACTAAACAAGCAGAAAAGGACCAAGAGTAAAGCAGAGTGAGGGATCACTGGACCTGGCCAGTCTTCCTCCCGCCAGCTCCTGCTCCAGGCAGCTGGGAGGCAGTTCAAGGCCAGGGCCAGGGCTTGGCTGTCCTCATGGAAGGTCCCTAGCTGACCCTTGCCCTTGCTTCTGGTCTTGGGCTGGGCTGTTCTGGGGACACCTGTCAGCTCTTTAGGCAGAGACTTACAGGACTGGTGAAGCTTCATGGACTCACTCAGCCACCCTGCTGGGAAAGGGCTGGTAGGGGCAGCAGACCCCAGAAAGGTCACCTGGTAGAGAAGGTCTTTGACAAATGTCCCAGGAGTGGAACACAGGAGACCAGGAGTTGGGGGTGGGACGGGACTTCCAACCTGTGCAAACACCCAGGGGCTTGGATGTGAGGCCAGGCCAGGGACAGAAGAGAGGTGTGGGCCAGGGATGTCAAGACCCCTCCTTCCCATGCTCCTTGACTAAGGAGCAGGAACTGCTACCAGGGACTTCTATTTCCTGGGCCTGCAGAGACCCTGGCAGCAGTCTCTCCCCATGGCTCCGAGTGAAACAGGGAAGGCCCTCCTCCAGGACCAGGACCCGGGCCAGTCATCCAGAGATGCAGGGCTGGGTCCCTGTCCACACTTGTCGGGGGACCCATGCAGTGGGCTGGCAATCCCGACTACAAGGCCTCGTGAGCACTTCTAGGCTCAAACCTAGTGCCAGCCTCCTTTCCCAATGCCTAGAGTGGGCACAGGCTGCAGGGGACAACACTTTCTCCCAAGTCCTGGCCACTCAGAAGCCTGAGCAGAAGCCTGGAGTTCTACAAGCACCCTTCCTCTCCAGTTGACAACAGCGGCTGAGGATGGTGGAGTGCAGCTGTGGCCTGCTTTGGCTAGGCTACTCTATCAGGGCATCCTGACTCTGTGGCTGAGCCCAATACTGACACACACAGTTTCTCTAGGCTTTGTGATCCTCCATGGAATGGGTATAAATGGGCTTCTGCCTTTCGTCATCCCACACTGGCCGACACACAAGAAGAGCTCTGTGTACACAGGCCCTGGGAGGGGTCTTTGGTCTTTGCCCTGGAGCCCAGTCTGAACAGAGTCTGCCTTGGTCCTTGTATTCCCAACACTGCTCTTTGCACAGTCAGAACTCCAGTCCGAATGGCAGAGGCCTCCTCCAGCACCAACCTGGAATCCCACGGGAAGAAAGGAAAACATGGAGGAGTGAGGCTGCTCCTCCTGGAGTTCAGGGCCTGGCCTCCTGCCCTGCAGTGGCCATAGCGCTGCCCGAAGTCTGTGACCACAGCCCCTAATGTTGTGCTGGGCACAGAGCAAAGAGACAAAGCATTCACTGGAGAGCTGCTGTCAGGGGTTCGAGTCCTAGCAGCTGCTGCATTCAACCTTGGGAACTTCAGGCACTCTCAACTTTCCTCCGGCTTCCCCCACCCCAAGCCTTAGTTCCAAGTTGTTTCTCAGAATCTCAGTTTCCTTGTCTGCAAAATGGAGCACTTAGCAATCTTATTCCCAAGGTTGGGTGGGATACAGGCTCGGACTGGGCTGTTCCAGTCCAGGAGGGATCTGAAATGGGGGCCTCCATCGCACGTTCTCCTGGTTCCTTCCCTAAGCAGCAGCCTAAAGACAGTGCACCCTCATTCTCTACAGTGACCCCTCCCTGTGGCTCCCCCATTATGTTCACAAGGCCTCCACCTGCTCCTGCTATCCATTCCCCCTACTCTTAGCCATTGCAGGAGTTATCACAAGGACCCTGGGACCCAGGGGCAGGGGACAGGGCTATGGGCTCCCAGCCTTCAGGCCACCCTACCCTGCCCTCCCTTCTCCCTAGGGACCCACATGCTGCAAGGAACAAAACACCTGCTGTTACACAGCCAGTATCCCCAGGCCCCAGGGCCTTATCTGGATGAAGACTGGGAAGAGGGGTGTAGAGGGGGAGGTGTTGCAGGAAGACCCATGGGAGCCTTGGGGATCTGAGAGCTCTACCCGGCCAGACTCTGTGCTGAGGGCTTAGCAGGTTGAGGAGGAGAGGTGGCACAGGAGAGCCCAGTGCTGGTTTGGCCAGCCCACCAGGTCCAGCCACCGCATAGCAAAGGACAGCTGGTGACTAGCTGACCTAGCAAAGGACAGCAGACCCCTCCCTGTGGCTTCCATCCTGGAAGGGCAGACCAGGAAGCCGCTGGTAATGAGTCCACCAAGGCAGGTCAAGTAAGAGCCTGAGGGTGGGATCAGCTCCTGGATGTCCCAAGTCAGGTCTGCCCAGTGAAGTCCTGAGTTCAAAATCCAGTCCCACAAAAAAAGAAAGAAAGAAAGAATGAGTGAAAAGAAAGAGAAAGTACATGGCTCAGGCCCCAAGACAGGCGAGGCCCAGGAACCCTGAGAGCCTCAGAACCAGACAGGCCCTCCCTGGCCTGGCGCTTCCCAAACCCACTGAGTCCCTGAAGGGCCCTGGGTACTGGGTGGGGGAGCCCCTTTCTTTTCCCATGGATGGTCCTCCCATATTTGATCTCAGGCCAGTCTTGGGAGATCATGGCCTGGGGGCATCCCTGCTCTCTGTAGGCACTGGGAAGTCTCCTTAGGAAGACTGGTGGAGGGGCCACAACTAGCTGCCCCTGGGTCTGCTCCCTGGAACAGGGACACTGCACCATGGGGGGCAGGTCACACAGAATGCACCAGGCCAGTGCTCTGAAGTTTAAATGCATTCTTAGCGTCATCATTACCTACTTTATACCTGAGGTTCTTGGAGGCTCAACTAGCCCTTGAGGACAGGAGGACCTGGGACCCATAAAATAAAGCTAGCCCAGAAAGCCCCTCTCCCCAAGACTGGCAGGGAGCAGAGGGAGTAAAGTTAGGAATCCCTTCTCCTACTGCCCCTGTAACCAAAGGGAAGGTGGGGCTTCAGGAACCACAGGTCCTTTAACCCGGCCACTGCCAGGAGGACATTGCAAAACCCACTAGCTGAGAAGTCCAAACAGGGCAGAGAGAAATGTAGCAACAGTCCCCAGGGATGGGGGTGGGGGGATGATCAACAGGGAGAAAGGGCAGGAAGCCACCACTCCCTAACACCCTCCCCCAGCCCCCACTGGTCTGGTCAGCTCGGGATGACTCTTACATTGACTCCTTGCCTGACCACCAAGCTTCCCACCCTGGGAGGCGTCCAGAGGAAAATTTCCTCAACAGCCCCTTCCTTCCCTTGGTTGGCGAGCTGGACCCAACCGCTAGGCGCCAGCGCGTTAGCAGCTCCTCTCTGGTCCCTCCCCGTTCCGGAGAAGAGGAAGGAAAAGCAAAAGGAACCTGCCGCTGCACCTGGGCACAGGTGTATCCCTCACTGCCGGCGGGCAGAAGCACCCGGAGAGGACGGCGAGCTCAATGACCCCCGCCGCCCCAACCAGTCAAGAACCTGGGGACAAGCCCCGGCCTCGAGTCCCCCCGTCCCCCGCCCCGTGAAGCAGGAGTGGGCCTCTGCTCGCTTCGCCTAACCCTTTTCCTCTCCAGAAGCCGCCATCCGCCACCCACGGCGGGCGCAGGGACGCGGGAAGACCTAAGTGCCAGGACCCGGGCACGGGCGGCGCACTGTGACGCGCGCTCTTGGGGACCCGGCGGCCACCCGTCCATCCGCGTTCTCTCGGGGGAGCGGGGCCGGGCAAGCGGGCGGGCGGGACAGGAAGAGGGAGAGGAGGCAGAAAGTTAGGAAGCGGAAGCACGGCGCCCCTCCCGCCGCCCCTTGCCTCATGTTCTCCACGGTGCGGCCCCCGTGGCGCAGCAGGCAGATGACCGAGGCCACGGCGGAGGCGGACAGGCAGAGCGCGCAGTAGAGGCTGATCTTGACGTAGAACCGGGCCACGCGGCTCAGCTGCACGAGCAGCAGCAGCAGCAGCAGCGCCGCCGTCAGCCACGGCCACAGCTCCATGGCCGGCCGCGCCCCAGCCCGACGGCGCAGCCGATCGCTGTCCCGCCGGCCGCCCCGCGCCTCCCGCGCGCCCGCGATCCTTATTGCGAGGGCGTCGGGCGGGGCGGGCGGGCGGACGCGAGGCGGCTAGGTGCGGCCGCCCCGCCCCGCTACCGCCTCGCCAGGTCACCGCCCTACCCGACCTCCCCGCCCCGCGACGTCCCTCTGCGGCCGTTCCCGCCCCAGGCCGCCCCGCCCGGTGTCACCCGCCCTGGCCCCGCCCCGCGTCACTGCCCCCTGCATGCATGCTTGTCAATGAGGCTCTGAGCCTCTGGGTCTCGCTCCTACCCTCTGGTCCTGGCTGGTGGCCTGTGCTCCGGTGCTCCCCATTGTCTGGGACTCCTGCTTCCCCCACCCCCTTCCAGCCACAAGTCCCCAGTCTAGACCCACAGCTCCCCAAGGGCGTCCAGGCAGCCTAAGGAAGGAACTTCAGTACCAGTCTAGTCACTACACAAAGAGGCCCTTGAACTGCTACTGAGTGACCAATGATCACCAGGCTGGCCACCTGTCCCCTTGGGTGGGGACTCTGGAGTCCCACCCCCTGGTGCAGTCCCTGGGGGAGGCACAGGAACCTGGGCTGGGTCCTGTGGTGGGTTCCTGGAGCAGGGTGTTGCTTAGGACCTCCTGGTTCTCTGCCAGTCATGGTAGCAGGCAGTTGTGCTCACACCAATTCAGCTCAGCAGATCAGTCAACCTGGCAGGGCCACCACACAGCTGGTGCTCGCTGGGGCACTTGTCACCTTAGGAGGAGGGGATCCTGCCCTGGGTATTCAGGTGTGTCTCTCTCAATCTCTGTCTTTCTCTCTTACACACACACACACACACACAGTGATCTTGTGATCAGCCAGCAGATCAAGATGGCAAAACGCAAAATGCAGCTTCCTTTCTAGACAAGCCCACCTCCCCTCGCTGGCTGCGATTCCTGTGGTCACCGCAGCGTATGAAGTACTGCCCACAGCTGCCCCGTGCTGTGGAACGTGGTTGCGGAAGGCATTACTGGCCCTGTTTCCTCAGATACTGAGGCGATAATTCATTGACTGTTGTAACATCCTCATGCAGAACTGCACGGAGCCAGCAATGCCAGGCCCAGAAGCCTCTCTGCTTGGGGATGAGCGGGAGTAAAGCTGTAAGTGGGGGTGGACCCTCCCTACACGAGCCCAACAGTCCACTAACAGGTGTTCTTTGTCTTTTGAGAAAGAACCCGGTACCATTTGCAACCCACCTGGGTACATTTTCCCACAATGATGGCATCCTGTGGTTATCTGATTCCAGTTCCTCTGCCTGTTCCAATCCACAGCTGCAGGATTTGCAGCCTCCTGGAAAGATGACAGAGAGACACATGGAGAGAATTCTGGGGTGTGGGCCGGAAGGGCTGGGGTCCTGAGACAGCCTTCATCCCCAGTGCAATTCTGTCCTCACAACCCTGACAGCTGGCAGCCCCCAACTTCCTTTTGTCCCTTAAATCTCAACCCACTGCCCTCTCCTTTCTTTCTTTCTTTTTTTAAACTTATTTATTTATTTATTTTGACACAATGCCTGTGTTCCCGTTGGTCTTGAGCTCCTGGGCTCAAGCTATTCCAGTGTGGCCCTCATACTCTTTCTAGCACTCTCCTGACCATGAATATCCCTGGAGAAACAGGCTTTGCCCAGGGCCTCCTGGGGAGGCTGTCACCAGACCTTGCCTCCTCCCCCAGTCCCTTCTTCCTCTTAGGCACATAAATGTTGAAAGAAAATGTCCATCTTTCCCCCTACAGGAGTGGGGGAGGAGGCTGGGGCTGAGGAAGGCTGCTCTGCTCGAAGGAGGTCACATTGTGGGGCCAATAAAATGTCTTGCTTTTAGAAGTGAAGCCCCAGCCACTCTCTGGGACTCTTGGAGAGACTGAGAGAGGTTTTCTCTAGAGTTAGTGCACCCCAACCAAGCCAGGCCTGCTTGGGTTCCACAGTGTTTACCCAAGAGTAGGGGCAGAAAACAAACCTGGTTGGGTAGGGGCAGTGGTTCCCTATTTACCCAGGGGGTGCTGTCAGTACCAGACAGCCATCCCCTCCTGGTCAGAAGTCAGCTGAGAGCCTTCCTGGGCATTTGTTGGGACCCAGCCAGACAGCACATGACACCAGGCAGCACAGCCAAGGCTAAGCTGGCCTCCCTTCTGAGGCCCACAGGAACCCATGACACGGGGCGGGGGCGCCACTGACAAGAGAGGGAAAGCGAGCACAGGGAGGGGGTGGGACAGCCAGTGTTTGACCCACTCTCACGTCTGTCCCTTGTGGCCTCCTCTGCCAGGACTGGGTGGGGCCCTATGGTGGTTTTTTCCTCTTGCATGGGGCGGGGGTCTGGAGGGAAAGGCTGAGGGAGCCAGAGCTCCCAATTTCCAGAAGCAGAGGTGAAGCTGGCTGAGTGACCCCTGGCTGGGGCAGTGGTAAGTGGAATGGGCAGGGCGGGGCTCTGGGCTTTGAAGTCCAGTTGACTTGGCTTCAGACTCTATAGTATCCCTGTCTGTAAAATTGGGACGCTTCATCCAGCGTGGCTGAGGAAAAATAAACTTCCTGTCCTCTCTAGGCAGCAGGTGGGGTGGGGGCCCTGGTAACCCTGCCTTGCCCAGGAGAAAGAAATCCCAGGACAGAAGCCAGGGAGAAGAAGGCATCTCAGCCTGGGATAGGACCAGGGGTAGAGTGGCCAAGTGGGTCAGGGGAGGAGGACCACACCCCTTTCCTGTAAGCTCTTGGGTGGGCAGTTTGGGGGGCTCCTTTTGGAGAGGAGATCAGACCCAGGCCTAGGGGCTGGAGGAGGAAGGACAGGTGGAGCCCAGAGCTCAGCAGAGGACGCAGGGTCTGGTCTGTACACCCTGGGCCACCCTGCGGCTCTGGGTAGACAGGCTTGTGCCTGGGTCTTTGAGGCCTTTTGGTGGGTGTGTCACAGGGACACCAGTGCCATCCCCACCACCTGTAAATAAAGCAGTCTGTGAATCTTTCATGGGCTTGTGCTTAAAAATAGATGAAGTGAGGCATCCAGGCCAGATTGCTGTCCCTGCAGAGGGCAGTCCACAAACTCCCCAGGCAGACATGTGGCAGGGCTCCCATGGCCTAGGGACATGTCACACATCTGGAAGTACTGTCAGGAAATCTGGGTTATGAGGCTGGAGGTATGAACAGAGATACTTCAGAGAGATGGCACAGAGGAGGATTGTGGGTGCCAGAGGGTTGGGGACACCCTGTTAGACAAAGGGGACAGCCCCAAGGAGGAGCAGGAGCCTGAGGACTGGGGAGGCCGGCCAGCCCTATGTACAGCAGCTGTTGTCCACCCAGAAGAGCTGCAACTCCACCCACAGCCCCCACACCATGACCCTCACAAATCTAAACGACATCTTCAGGTGGCCCAGCAAGCAGGGAGCTGGGGTGAGAGAGGGAAATGCTGGCAGGTATCAGTATCAGAGCAGATGAGCGGCCTGGCAGTGGCTGAAGTGCTAGAATGCCTGCCTAGCAAGTGTGAAGCCCTGAGTTCGAAGCTCAGTGCTGCCTAAAAAGAAAAGAAAAACCAGAACAAATGGGCTTTGCTGCTTCTGACATCAGCAGACCACGATGGTTTGCTCACCCGGCTCCCTACTCAGACAGGAAAAGAAGGCCAAAAAGGGCAAGAGGACTTCCCCAGGGACCCCAACCCACAAACACAACTTGGTGCAAAGGTCTATAGTCCAGGGTCAGAGCCAGGCAGCCCAGCCTGCCATGTGCCCCTGGGTCTCTCTGGCCCCAGTCCTCTCTGGGCCTCAATGTCCTGTCTGTGTAAAGGGAACAGTAATGGTGGCTCTGGGAGTTGAAATCATTTTGAGGCCTCCAACATGTGAGCCAAACTGGCTGGTGACAGACATTCAGGTCTCCGGAAAAGCATGTTCCAGTCCTCTGGCCACCTGACCCCTGGCCCAGCTGGCGTCTCCAGTGCAGTCAGCTGTGCTGACTGCTCTGCAGGCCAGCTGGAACAGGACAGGAGCTGGAGTAAGCAGTGATACCTCACCCCACAGCTCCCAAGGGTTAGGGGCTGCTTCTGCCCCAGGCCCTAGAAGCCAAGGCTCCATGTACAGACTCGCCACTGTACTATACTGCTCTGCCTGCGCTCTGGTTTCAGGCCTCCTGGCTGCCTAGATTTGGAGGAGCTAGTAAGCTAGAGTCTAGAAGTCACAGTCCCAGTCGCCCAAGGTCCTGTCCCCTGGCTGTGATGGGTGGGTGGGGAGTTGACAGGAGAAGCAACTGAGGTCCTGGTCTGCAGGCAGGCCACTGCTCCCTCTCATTCCCCTACAACCTACAGTTCCTGGCTCAGCTCTGCCCAGAAGTCCTGTACTTGGTGTGGCCAAAAGGGCCTTCAGCAGCACCTGCCTGAGCCCTGGCTGTGGCTCTGATCCCGGTGCAAGAACCCTTTCTTGCTTTTGCAGGCTGTCCTCCTGGCAAGGCAGGCAAGGGGGTAAGGCTTTCAACTCTGCAGTTGTGCCTGGCCTGGGTCCTGCCTGCCCCTGCTGGCCTGCAACCTCCTGCAGGCCTCTGTCAAGTGAGAGGGAGAACTGTCCTCGACTTGTTGAGACAAGATGAGGTGGTGCACACTGCTGCCGGTCCTGGGGCTGGTCCCAGAGCCACACTCCAGGGGTGGCCCCTGGCAGCCCAATACTGGCTTTCCAGGGAGTCCAGAAGAGACCAGAATAGGTCTAGAGTCCCTGGTCCTTCTGCAAGCCAGGTCAACCCATGCCTGGGTGGGGAAGGAATGATGTCCCCAGGGTCCTGCCAGGTCCTGTGGCAGAGGCAGGTGTCTTTCTGCCCTTCCTCCCCCCACCCCCGGCCCCTTCCTGGTTCAATCCTATCCTCTGTCTTTCTGGATCTGGCTCCTTAGAGCTGCTCTTTCTGGCCCCCAGTAGGTCTCCCAAGGCTTTGATGAGGAATGAAGGGATGGAGGAAGGAAGGAAGGAAGGAGGAAAGAAGGAAGGGAGGGAGAAAGGAACAGATGGAGGAGGGAAGGGGTGGAGGTAGGT